AAAAAAAATTTCCAGCAGTTTCCCAAGTCAGATTTGGCAACCTGCATTGTTCCTTGTGAAAGGACCAGCCAGCAGGAGATAAGTACACCACCGTGATGCTGGGTTGGGGCCAGAGAGATCCAAGTACATGTTCATGCACGCACACACACGGTTTGCTATGAAACTTAGTGTGGAAACGTCTTTGGACAGTGCTGGCTCTTCGGCTTGGAAACGGAGACGAGCACAGCAACCCTAGAGTTGGATTTGACTGGCTTTCGAGCAAGGGAAACCTTTACCTTTACTATTAAGTACTGAGACGAGGCAGCTCTTTTCATAACAACATGCTTCTTAATTGAACTTCCGAACCAAAGAACCAGGCTCAACAGGAGCCAATTTATACTTCTAAAAACCACACCCACCTTAAACAACAACCTATACCAAGTAGGCAGCCGGAATCCTTCATTTGCACGAACTATATACAGCGTAACCAATGACACTGCAGCTATTGGGTTATAGTCAACGAATATGATTGGCCGTTACCAGTAACACAACCAATAGTCTTGAAGGCTTTTGGAGCCTTGCTCAGACTCAAGCTCCACCAGTACAGAACAGTGACCTTGGGGCAGTTGTTCTCCCTCAGCCTAGCCTTCTTCACAGGGTTGTCATGAGGATCTAATAAAGTAGTGGACACTCAGGTATGCAGCCCAAGGAATGCACTAAACAAACAAAAACAGCTCCCAGATCCTTGTGTTTCATCCCTAATTCTTGCTTGCTTATTTTACAGATCCAATGAAGAGGCACTAAGGGACTTTGGAGACAGCATGGGAAGAACAGTGTCCTGCCTGGAGTGCATAGCAGTAACCAGGGCTCTTTTTGTAGAAAAAGCCCAGCAGGAACTCATTAGCATAATAGGCCACACCCAACAGCAGGAACTCATTAGCATATTGGGCCACACCCCCGACAGCACAGCTCATTGCCACATTAGGCCACACCCCCATGTTACCAGAAGTGTGCTCATCCAGCCACACCCACCTTTTGCATCTTATTCTGTTTACCTTGTTTGTTGTCCAAACTCAGGGCTTTTTTGTAGCAGGAACTCCTTTGCATGTTAGGCCACACACGCCTAATGTAGCCCATCCTAATGAGTTTTTGCTCTTGGGTGTGGCCTATTATGCTAATGAGTTCCTGCTGGGCATGGCCAACTTGGGAGCCAGCTGGAACTCCGTTCCTGTGCGTTCCTGCCCAAAAATAGCCCTGGCAGTAACAATATGGTGCACTGAGTCTCTGGCTCAGCACAGTAGTTGAATGTCTGGGAGGTGGGGCCCCTCTGGAAGCCAGCTGTTGTTCCACTCTGGCCGCAGCAACTCTTCCTCTCCTTCCCAAATGGAGAAACCCCTTGCTTAGTTTCTGCCCACCCTCCGCTCCCTGCCCAGCCATTCATCTTGTCCCCTACCTGCTCCCACCACCTCTGCCTGCCCTCTCTTGCCTTCCTTCTGCATTGTGTTTTCACTATATTCAGTTAGTAGATTCGGATTGTGAATTAGTTATTAGAATGAGGGCGAGGAGAGACTGTCATTGGCTCCTAGATTAGGGGCGTGGCTGTTGAGGTACTGAACCAAGAACACAGGGAGCTGCCTCACACTGAATCAGGCCATTGGTCCATCAGGATTAGTCTCATCTACTGTCACTTGCAGCAGCTCCCCAGTGTCTCAGGCAGAGGTCTCTCACATCACCTACTCAGCCCTCTGAACAGGAGATGCCCGGCATTGCACCTGGGAACTTCTGCATGCTGAGGAGATGATCTACCACTGAGCCAGGGTCACTATCCAGAAAAAAAGCCGTAAATGCAAACAACAGTATGATTAGTGTCAGTTTCCTCTCCAGTTATGCTTAATCTTACAGAATTTACACAAGCCAGAAGGATGGGAGGTTTTGAGGTATGGTGGAAGGCTAGGTCTGTACGGTTTCTCGATTTTATACAGGACAAATCAATACTTTCCTGAGATGAGATGAAACACTAAGTAGGCTAAGGGAGAATATTTTTATTTATTTATTTTTTATATTTAAACTGTTATACAAAGTAAGCAACCATCTATAAACGTTTATAGATCACAGAAGGAACTAATCATTAAATCAGTCATCTGTACATAAGGGCTTGATTGACTGATGTATACTAGAGTGGATCCAACTTGCTTTTCTGATGATAAAAGAGGGAGGAAAAGGTCTCCTTTGACCACACGAAAAGGTTTTGGTTGGGATCATGGGGCCCACATGGACAAAAGCAATGTGAGACAGGAACAGTAGTAAGGAAAGAAGTTGAGAGAGATTGACTGGAAAAGCTAATTGGATCCACCCCTCTATCTTGGCTGGTCTAGAAATACAGAACATAATATACAGAGCAAGATGTGGGGAAAAGATCTATTACTAAGGATTCCATAAGGATTCTTATGTCTAAGCGACATAAGCATATTACGACTTTCTTTTGGAATATGGGGATTAGAAAGAATATTAGTCCTGTTAGACTGGTCAAAACTAATCACTCAGGTTTTATCCTCTGTTGGCATGTTTCAAGTGGGTACTCTCATTCATATATGGTGGCAATGCCTGATGGTAGAGATTTGGCTACAGATTTTTGAGACAATTAGAGAGATATCATATGATCCAAGGATGAATTTATTGGGCTTAGTACAGGATGATGTGGAATAAAGACAAGATTTGGGTTGATAATATCAAGATTTTTTATTGGAAAAAGAAAGTGGTAACAAATAAACATTAGCTACAGTACATAACTGGCTTGAGAATGTTGGATTGGAATGTTGATGGATAAATGGACAACTTTTTAGAAGCAGTTTTAGGAAAGAAGAGACTTTCCAGAAATGTATTTATTCAAAATTGGCAGCCATTTGTGTTATTTTGGGATAGATGAAATCAGATGAAGTTGTTCGCTTAGCAGTTTCATCACATGTAATGGAGGTAAGGATTATTGGTACGATGCAATGGGTTCTCTTGTATTAATTCTGCATGTGTCCCTCCCCCTTTGGTTTTGTACTTTTGGTCTGGTACAAATGATTGTATAAATAGGTTTTTTGCATTCTAAGTCTCAATAAAAATACTGATAAAAGCATTAGAGTTGCCACTTTGCCTCTCTCTAGTTCTGATCAGTATACCTTACTGGAACAGAGCAATGGTCTCCAGCATTCTTGCTCCAAGTGGGGGCCAGTGAGATGCACCTGAGAAACTTAGACGATAGCTGCCCTCTTTCTCTAGCACAGGTAACTGGAAGTATATACTTCCTGAGAACATTCCTTGCAAACAGCAGACATAAATAAATTGCAGAATTAGGATCTGGAACAGAATGGTGGACAGCAACTGTGAATTACCTTGAAATATTATGATCTAGAGTGCATTGATGGATCAGAACCAAAAAGGTTTGGACTCTGATTTCGGATAGTCAGATCAGACCAGGGACCCATCTTATCCATCCTCCTCCTTCATGCAGTAGCCAATTAGTTGTCATGGTGAGCCAACAAAAAGGGCATGGATGGAGTCCAAGACCCCACTCCTAGTGCTGGTGTTCAAAGATTTACTGCTTCTGGGTTTGGAAGTTCCCTTTCGATATCTTGGCAAGAGTTGACGAACCCATCCTCCATCAATGTGCCTTTTAAAGTCCTCTGTGCTATCACTGCATGCACTGGTGACGGATTCCGCAATTCAAGAACAACAGCCAAGAGATCTTTGAGTAATACAATAATGGAAGCAAAACATTTTTTGTTGTTGTTCAATCGCACAGTCGAGTCCGACTCTTCGCGACTCTATGGACCAGCTCCCGCCAGGCCCTCCTGTCTTCCGCCGCCCTCTGAAGTTGGCTCAATTTCATGTTTGTTGCATCGATGACACTGTCTAACCATCTCATCCTTTGCCGTCCCCGTCTTCTTTGACCTTCAATCTTTCCCAGCATCAGGGTCTTCTCCAGTGAGTGCTCTCTTCTCATTTGGTGGCCAAAGTATTTGAGCTTCACTTTCATTATCTGGCCTTAGCAAGTGTAAATATCTGATTAACAGAATTCTCATGGGATCCAGGATCTTACCTCAATGGCTACCTAACAAAAGAAGCCCACTTTTTCAGTGATATGGACATTCCCCCCAGCAAGTTAAACAAAAAACGGTTGCCATTCTGTTGAACAGCCAGATACCATAGCCAAGAACGAAGCAATTGCACCAACTCTAATTTCCTTATAAGAGTTACCAAACAAACAACAGCACATGGAAAAAATTCTCGTTCACACATGTGCTACAGGGACAAAGGCCTATTTTGCATGCATAGCTTACTGCAGAGTATGTGCAGAGTATCTGAGCAGTCAAGCTTTTAAGCTCGATTTAGGATTCAGTGTTCTGCCGTACACACCATTTCCCCCCCTCTGGGGTATTCTGTGCTTTTATTCTGCAGCTACATCCAAAAAAAAATCACAGTTTTTCTTAATTGGGGTAGGAACATCACTCGTGACATGTGGGGGTGGAAGGAGCACACAAAAGCATGCTTGCACAGAAAGAAAGACATCACATTAGTGGGTACCTGTGAGCATAAACAAGGGTAGAATCTCATCTGGATCAGCCACTTATTCCTCGCCATTTTGTGTCTTCTCCCATCCTTAGAGTCTTGTCTCTTTAGACCAGAAACACAAACATGATTCTCCATCTCCCATAATTTAATCATTGTACAGTCTCTGGCTTTTGGAACACTATACAAATAGTAAATATCGTACAAATGAATGTAAACCAAGGACCTGTGTAGCATGTACCGTTTCGCCAGCCAAGCAGAGCATCCACTGTTGCTTTGGTCCCTCTCCGCTTCAGAACTTTGGTTAATGTCCTCGCAGCCTGAGAAGTCTTTTACTTCCGGACACGGGCTGACACACTCCGAAACACCCGCATACTGCTGGACTTGATATATATACACACATACAAGTGGAGAAACACGTGCCCCGGTGACTCACACCCAGTCCCCAGTGCCAGGAAGTGGCAAGAGGAGGAAATGACTGGTGGGGCCCTTTCGTTCCCTCACAGCTACCCAGCACGCTGCACACCCGGTGCTGAAGAGGCCCCGCCATGAAGGTGAGTGACCCTTCTTTCTCCAGCACAAGACCACCCAACTCTCTCATCTAAGAATAGCTTCCACCCCCCCCCTTTCCTGTCTCTGGTATAATTGGCCAGCTGGGATAATTTTCCGCCAGGGATTAACCCATTGGACACGGTGACAGAAATCAGAGCCGCTGGCTCCAGGGAAATGAAAACCAGGTGTCCAAACTGAGAGCGGGATAGTGGGTCTGGGAGAGGGGTCTGGGATTGACGGAAGGCCCAGGCTGCAGTCTGGAGAGTAAAGTGGACTGATGTGCTGCCCTCTCAGGTATCTCTGGCCTGTCTCTTGCACTCCATCTTTGTTTCACTTCCAGAGTCTTTTTTCATTGCAGGAACTGGCAGATGCGTGTTGTAATTAAGGTGAAACCTCTCGGGCAGGATTGTGTGGGGTGACTGTTACTAAATACTTCAGTTTTAAGAGGAGAGCATGCTTTGGTGCCTGTGTGTGTGTGTGTGTGTGTGTGAGAGAGAGAGAGACAGACAGACAGACAGGGAGAGAAAGAGACTGAGGGATGAGAACAGAAAACAAAAGACCGCTTCTCAGTTACAGTGCTGCAGGTAGGAGGAGATTTGTTAATGGCAGTGATGTTGGGCCTTCGGTGGATTGGAAAGAATCCAGCAGGAGAGGCTTTGAAAAAGTAATTTGTCCTGGTAACGGGGAGGCGGAGAGAGAGGCCCTGTTAGGTGTTGGTAGCTCCAGCAGACTGCTTTGGAGGATGTGACCAGTCTGAACATTCAAAGCCTTGCCTTCTCCTCACATGGCTGCCTCATGAGTTCCACCTCTTTGGGAGTTGTCCTGCCTGCCACAATGTCTTCAGTTGAAGTCAAAGAGAAACAGCACTGTCGGTTGCTGGGGGAAATGCCAGTATCTTAGCTCCAGAGGATGAAACGGAAAGTACAGCTCTGCAGTCAATTGGATGTCTGTCATCTGTAGGGAACCTGAGATCTTAGAAGAACTTGAGAGTCAAAAATGCCAGTTAGGCTGATGGAATTGAAGGTCTACCACAGGCTTGGGCAACCTACCAGATTATGTACAGCAGGATATTTGGGCATATGTCTGTGTATTTATTCCTCAGAATTATATTACTAGTCACACTTACTCTCAGGTAAGTCCCATTTAATTTAGTGGGGGCTACTTCAGAGCAGGGTTGCAGGTCTCCCCAGCCACCAATGGGGGGTGGGGGTGGTAGGCAGTGTTCCCTCTAAGCTGAGTTAGTGTGAGCTAGCTCACAGTTTTTTAGCCTCCGGCTCATACATTTTTGTCTTAGCTCAGGAAGGGATGGCTCCAGAGCAACCTAACTTATGCAGTAGCCAAATTGCCTGCTCACAACTGTAATACCCGTAGCTCACAAAGTAGAATTTTTGCTCACAAGATTCCACAGCTTAGAGGGAGCATTGGTGGTAGGGATCCAGCTGCAGATTGGGAAACTCCTGGAGATTTGGGGAAGGAGCCTGGAGCAGACAGGGACCTCAGTGGGTACAGTGGAGTCCTCCCTCTGAAACATCCATTTTCCCCCAAGGGAACTGATCTCTGTAGTTTCAAGAGGAGTTGTAATTCTGGGGGATTCCAAGGTCCCAACTGGAGGTTAGCATCCCTTCTTTGAGTCATCTTGCCTAGGTTTGAGCTGCATACCATTTGAAGGGTAACCCAGTTCGGAGTTGCTCCAGTGTAAACCCGCTGGAAGTGGCATAATTCTGCATAGTATTGCACTATTTGTTTAGATTGCCTTTGAAGTGTAGGATATTCGGTCATTAAGAATGTGCACTGAAATTTCAGGTTCGGTTTGTCTTGCTCATTAAAAAAATTCATATGACACACATTTGGATTTTCTGTCGTATTTAGTTGCACTTTCTTTTCATTTCCCGCCTGTAACTTTATGCTTTCCCTCACCCAAGGAATCCGCTCTTCTCCGTAGGAGGAAACCTCCCAATTCTAGAGGAATTTATAATCGCCATTTGACAACTGGGTGGGGTGGGGGCTTCAAAAAGCCATCTAAAAAATGCTTAAAGTATGACTCATGATGAGTCTCTTGGGAGAAGAAATAGGCATATGTGGGAAAATGTCTGTAATGTTGTTTGAACTCACAGATGACAGCCCTCTGTAACTTGGGCTTTTTATGCTTAAGGCAAAAATTCTGTACCATCATGATAGACAGACAGACAGACAGACAGATATGGATGGGTGGATGGATGGATGGATGGATGGATGGATTGATGGATGGATGTATATACGGGTATGTATGTATAATGAGCCAGTGTGGTGTAGAGGTTAAGAGCAGTGGACTCTGATCTGGAGAACCAGGTTTGATTCCCCACTCCTCCTCTCCATGAGGCCTGCTGGGTGACCTTGGGCCAGTCACAGTTCTCTCAGAATCCTCTTAGCCCCACTTACCTCACGGTGCCTGTTGTGGGGAGAGGAAGGGAAGGCGATTGTAAGCTGTTTCGAAACTCCTTAAGACAGAGAAAAGCAGGGTATGAAAACGTATTCGTCTTCTTTTTCTTCCTAATTTATTTGTAATGTTTGTATATTTGCATAATTTATGCCAGTTTAATGAGTCATCACAGGGGAAAGGATTCTGAAGTTTTACCCTCCGCTATTGATAATCTTATTCATTCACTACTCTGGCTTCTGAAAGTTCAGTAAATATTACCCACAACCCTTTGTCCTTCCATAAGGGCTAGACTTTTTCAAATGAAATCTCTCGGGAAGTTGAATGATGCACATATAACCAAATACTGGATTGTTTCTTTGTTCCTGCAGCATCACAGTGTGTGTGTGGGGGAAGCCATTTAGTGAGATTCGGGGGGGGGTCACTTTCCCCCTAGTATAGAATTCCTTCGAGATGTTCAGCCAACCACTTCCTTGGCAGTAGCCTCAGGCTCCCAGGGGATGTTGGGAGGGGGGTACGTTCTGTACATGACTCAATGTTGTATTATTCAGACAGGCTTTTGGCAGATAACTCTAGAGTGTGGGATGTCGTATGGTGGAGGTATGGGCTGGTTCATTGACTGGCAATATCCTCTGTTGAATTTCTCTTGTTTTTGGTTTGGTTATGTTGTCTACTGGGAAGCCTTTATACACCACCTTGAGACACTGTGGTCAGTGGGATCTGTGGGGTATCTAGAGTTGTCAGCCTCCAGGTGTTGGCTGGAGATCTCCTGGGATTATGACTGATCTACGGGTGACAGAGATCAGTTCCCCTGGAGAGAAAATAGCCACCGTGGAAGGTGGACTCTATGGCATTATTCCTCACTGAAGTCCCTCCGCTCCCCAAACCCTGTCCTCCTCAGGGTCCACCCCCCCCCCAAATTTCCAGGTATTTCCCAACCTGGAGCTGGCAAGGTCTTGGTATTGACCTTTAAGGCCTTGAGTGGTCTAGGACCCATGTATCTTTGGAACTGCCTCATCTGGTATGTCCCCCGAAGAGCTTTATGCTCTGCTGAGGACAACATCTTGATGATCCCCGGCCCCAAAGACATCTGGCTGTCCTTGATCAGAGCCAGGGCTTTCTCAGCTCTGGCTCCCAACGGGTGGAACTCTCTGCCAAATGAAATCCATGCCCTGAGGAACCTGGGCCCCGTTCACACAGAGAATTTGCCATGGGAGAGCCACAAATGTCAAGCGGATTTTCGGTGCACGATCACACCGCAACATCTGGTAAGCGTAGTGCAACTCGTGACGTCCTGCCAAAAATGCGGAGTTAAAAAGTACCTTGGAAAGTGCACTAGTATCTGGAAAACGTGGGGCAGGGGTGGGCGTCTGATCGCGGGAGTGCTAGTATTCCGTGGCATCCAGCGCCCGTCCACGTCCCATCGCAAACCGGATGTTTTCATAAGCGCATGCGCACGAACATGACACTGAAAGCAGTACTGCTCCGCTTGTGTGATCGCGCCGCACCGCTTCTTTGCCACGCTGCAGCATTGCCGTGTGATCACCAGCTAACAGCCGAGGCATGGAGACTCGGGGGACCATGTGATCGGGCTACCGTGCTTTATTTTGCTCCAGGCAACCCGCCCGCCCCCCCCCCCCCCCGGCGCGCGCATTGTCTGGCCTGTGTGACCGGGGACCTGGTGAAGTTCTTCAGGGCCTGCAAGGCAGAGATGTTCTGCCAGGCTTTTGGTTGAGGACAGCAATGGTCGCCATCTTAGCTGACAACCCCCCCCCCCTTCATGCTTTCTCCCTACCTCTCCTGTCTGAAATCCAATGTATGAGCACAATTTTAAAAATGGTTCTAACAAGTGTTTTATTATATGTATTTTTTAATTATATATCTATTGTTGCTTATTGCTCAGAGCCCTGAGTACTCAGGGACTGGGCGAGTAATAAATCCAAATTGTAAATAAATATAAATAAACCGTAGGGATATATGTAGGGCCCAGCTGTATCATTTTTATTTGTTTCTTTTCCAGCCCTTTCCCATTCTGCTGCTTGCTCTGGTGAGCCTTGTAGCTGCTATGGATACACAAGGTAAGATGCTGCCTCCTCATGCTCTTGTCCAGGGCCAGCTGGACCCTGGGAGGGATGGCTGCCAGTGGGGCCCACGCATCTCCCTTGCCCTGTCTGCATGCTGTTAAGTCGCTTGCTTAACAAAGAAGTTGGAAAGTGATTCAGCAAGAACACAACTTTATTCTTCAACTTGAACACAACTCCAACACGGATCAACATCTGATAGCCAGAACAGAACAGTTCAGCTTTTACATTGCGGTTGTCCTGCTTTTAAACTCTCCTGGTTAATGTAGCCACACCCATTGTACAAATACCAACCAATACGGTTGTTCATATAAGGACCAATCACGGACGTTCCCACTCAGGGAACATGCTGTAAGGTGATTGGCTAGGTGCTTCCTGGGCTAGCAATGCGATTGGATGGATTTGGATCCTAGCCCAGGACGAAGCTCAACATGGCGAGTCAATTAGATGTTTCACATACATCATACATTACACATGCCCTTCCCCACCTGTTTACTTGAAGTGCTCTGCCACCCATGCTCACAGTTGCCCAGCATCACTGGGGAAAGACATGTGGTGCACAGAGGTGATGCTGCTGGTGGCCATGGCAGCAGCCCTCCCAGCTGCAGGCACTGGCCAGTGCAGTTGGGGAATGGGGGTACAGGTGGTGTGGGGAACTGAGCATGGGCAGTGAGAGGGTTTATAAGTGAGAGAAGGTACAAGGCACACAGGTGGGGGGGGGCTTGTGGTAGGCAGATAGGGACCCTCTGGGCACCGTCTTCCCAGGGCCCCTCAAAACCTGGAACCGATCCTGGTCGTGTCCCAGGTATGTGGGTCCACTTGGACGTCTAGTGATAGTCAATTAGCCTCCTCATGTTCTCTGTGGGCTTCAGTCTCTTGCCTGTCTCTTAGCAGATGAAGAAGCTAAGATCAGTGATCCCCAAAGTGATGGCACAGGGGCACCATGACAGTCAGTTGTTCATTTGTGGTCACAGACTGACGGTATAAAACATAGTTTGAATTCAGGAGGACCTTTAAGACCAACAAAGTTTCATTCTAGATATTCTATTCTTTGTTGGTCTTAAAGGGGCCACTGGACTCAAACTTTGTTCTGCTGCTTCAAACCAACATGGCTACCCACCGGGGTATTTTATTTTATTAATGAGAGCCAGTTTGGTGTTGTGGTTAAGTACGCGGACTCTAATCTGGGAGAACAGGGTTTGATTCCCCACTCCTCCACTTGCACCTGCTGATGTGACCTTGGGTCAGTCACAACCTCTGGCACAGCTGTCCTTGAAAGAGAGCAGTCTCTGTCAGAGTTCTCTCAGCCCCACCTACCTCACAGGGTGTCTGTTGTGTGGAGGGGAAGGGAAAGGAGTTTGTAAGCCGCTCTGAGACTCCTTTGGGTAGTGAAGGGCGGGGTATAAATCTAATCTCCTCCTCCTCCTCCTCCTCCTCCTCCTCCTCCTCCTCCTCTTCCTCTTCTTCTTCTTCATTGAACTTATGAATCGCCCACCCTGCAGAGCAGGCTCTGGGTGACGGACAACACGTTAAAACATTTAAAACACAATTCACATATAATTGTATATATAAAACTTATACATTAACAAATATATTTACAGGAAACCAATGCATAATTAATATACAAATAGCATATCTATTTCATTAGACTAGCACCAAACCACAGTAGACACTTAACAGCTGTTCAGAATCTAGCAACTCTATCTGTCATCATTCCAGGCTCAAGGTCTGCTAGAAGAAGGGAGGGATACCATCCCTCTAATCTCCCAGAGTTTTTTTTTGGGGGGGGTTGTTTGTTTTTTGGAGGATAGGAGGGATGAATACATATCTGAAATCATCGTAAAAGGGGTGATGCAACAGAACATGGTACCCACTGTATTTCTTGGTGCCCACTTGATTCTTCCACAAAGTACCTCTTTCCCAAAGCAAAAAGCCAATCCTGGCTTTCCTATATCTCACTGAAGTAGAAGATCCCAGGATATATCACCATTGAGTCTGCAGAGAGTGCCTGTTTGAAAAATAGTTGCCCCCATCATTGAGCTAGGCTTGGAAACTGACAGCATGTCCCGCTTGGCGGCCATTTTGTGGTGCTGCCCACTACCTTCCTCAAAATCCCAGCAGTGCCTCGTTTGGGGAGCCCTTGGGACGAGGCACAGCATGTTTTCTTCAAGCATTTATCTTATTTTATTTAAAACCTTGATTAGCTGCCTTTCCCTCTTGTGGAACTCGAGGCAGCTTACGATATAAATAAAACATTCTAAAAACACAATAAAAACCACAGCTATAAAACCCATAAGAGTCCAAGGTTAATAACTCCAATTGGGACTGCCAACAATGACAGCTGTAATCAATTCAAGATATGGTACTGAATGAAACTGTCTTCAACTGCCTTCTGAAGGCTGACGATGAGGGGGGCCAGGTGCACCTCCCTGGGGGAGGTTGTTCCATAATTGTGGGGCTGCCACAAAAAAGGCCCACCAAACAAGAGTCTTCAATTGGTGGAACAGTCAGGAGGGCATCTCCCTGCAATCTTAATTCCCAGGCATAAATTGGGTTATGAGATCTGGGTATGAGAGCCTGCAATTGCCATAGAAACAGGGGTCATTTCCTGCGGGAGTGCACAAGAGCGGAGCTCCGGCAGTAAGGAGCCCAGGGGGTGGGCACATGCAACAAGCCCCGCCCCCTGCTCCCAGCAGCCCTCAGAGCAAGAAGCAGCCAGGTAAGCTGCAGAGCCCCCCCCCCAGCCCACCTTCAGGTACAAGCTCTCCCTCCTCTGTGAGGGCAGAACTGCACGTTCCCCCACCCCCCAATAGCTAGCAATCCAAAACAGTCCAGTGGAGCCAGAAGGTGTTGCCTTCTGACACACTTTCGGTGATGTAAGAGGGTGTGGCATATGCAAATAAGTTTGCTAATAAGTTATGCTAATGAGCTCCTGCACCTCTTTTCCAGCCCCCTGCATAGAAATGTCCCTTGATTAGAATGGTTGTCATTTGTCATTTTGGCAGGTTGGGTGGGACGAGGATCTCCAGAACTGTGTGTGTATTTTAGATCTTTACATAGATTATGTCAAGATGTGAAGGGAGGGGGGGAACCCTCACAGGAAACTAAATATTATGATTATTAATACAAAAAAAGACATCTTGGAAAACTAGCAAAGGAAATATTACAGTAAAACATTTTATCAGCAATGAACAGAAAACCTCCTCAAGGAAGGCAAAACATATGCTGGCCTTCTCAAGAATTCAAAAACGCATTGATGACTGTTCCACAGCCTGATTCTCCATATGTTGTGGAGGCAGAGTGCCAGATCCTGAGAATTTTATCTCAGTGCCTAGCTGTGGAGGCGATAAAGGCTAGGAGCTGTAGTAGCCTCTGGAGATGGAAAAAAAAAGGAAAGGAGCTGTAGTAACTCCATGCCACGCCCAACTGCACATGCTGACCCTGAAAGCCTTGCTCAAAAACAGGTGAAGGCTCAGAACAAACTAGCTGTTATTCATTTATTGATAGCCAGCCTTTCTTCCAAAGTAGTTTATATGGGGTTCCTACTTAAACAGGAACTAGATTGGATCTCTTCCTTCTGCTGATGAATATTGACATTCTCAGCCCATTCTCTTCTGTGGGAGAGAGTACATGAACCAGAAGACGTGGGAACAAGTCTGGAACCCTTGGGACAGTAGGGGGTTAACAGCATTTGGGCCAAGAGAATGTTTTGTGCCCCCTTGGATCATATTCCTGATTTTGTCCTTTGTAGTTTCTTAAGTAGGTTAAGAGGAGCATTTCATTTCTGTGGAAGAAAATAAAAGAGGTTTCAGAGAGGTACATGGGTATCTTGAATACATACCAGACACAAGCTTGAGGAAGGGAGAAATTTGGGTTTCCACCTCAACCATTTTTCCTCACTGTGGCCTCCTAACCTTCTCCAACAGAAATTAGTCAGAAACTATTCACATTTAAGAACAAAAAAACAAAATCAAAAGTCAATAAAGCCTTTCCTACTTGCTAGTCATTCAATGAAAGTGTTTTAAACTACAAAATTATTGTTACAGATTCAGAAACGACAGCCGTGAACCCTGGATGGGAGGAGAATGTGACAACTACCACCTCGGAGTCCTCGGTTTCCATAGATGAGTCCACTACTTTGCAAACGATACCTGGTCAGTTCAGTTTGTCTGACTTGTAATTCCTGAACTTCCCCATAGGAGGCAGTGTATTGACCACAGGCATGAAAGTTCATAAGAATTAAAGCCAGATGGGAGCTAGACCCAGTGTGATGTAGGGGCTAGTGTGGGGATGGACTGTGGTTGGGGGAGGGGCTGTGGCTCAGTGGAAGCACCTCTGCTTGGCGTACAGAAGGTTCAGTCCCCAGCATATCTAGGACCCTGCAGTACATGATATGAAAGACCTCTGTCTGAGACCAGTGGATAGCCATTGCCGATCAGAGTAGATAATACTGACCCTTTTGGCTTTTAGCCATTTCAGGTTAAATTGTTCTTCTGTTGGTATGAAGAAAAAAGCTGACTTAACCCCCAAATGTATGAAATTGTAATGTGATTGCATGTAAAGTTGGAAAACTTAAAATAAATTCTTAAAAAAAAAAATACTGACCCTGATGGACTGATGGTCTGATTCAATATAAGACACCTTCATATGTGTTGGATTAGGATCTGGGAGACCTTCCTTTAAATCCCCATTCTTCCCTGAAGCTGTCCAGGTGACATATGGAGTCATAGAATCATAGAATCGCAGAGCTGGAAGGGGCCATACAGGCCATCTAGTCCAGCCCCCTGCCCAATGCAGGATCAGCCTAGAGCATCCCTGACAAGTGTTTGTCCAGCCCCTGCTTAAAGACTGACAGTGAGGGGGAGCTCACCACCTCCCTAGGCAGCTGATTCCTCTGCTGCACAACGCTTACTGTGAAAACGTTTTTCCTAATATCCAGTCGATGCCTTCCCATCCTTAATTTAAACCCATTACAGTGAGTCCTCTCCCCTGCTGCCCACAGGAACAGCTCCCCACCCTCCTGCTGCCTGATTATCAGCCCCTGGGTCTTTCAAAGTCAGTATCGTCTACTCAGACAGGCTGTGAGTCTCCAGGATTCTCAGTTCTACACTACCTGCCTGGGTTATTGCATGGAAATATTAGGGAAGGACGGGGCATGTCATCAGCTCCATGTGAGATGGGCGGGATTAAAAATGTATTGGATAGATACCAGGCAGCCAGTTTGGGGGGCGGGAGTCCTGACTGCTGCCAAGCAAGGTGGGGAGGAAGTATGGGGTTGGCCATATTTAACCCTTCATCAGTTTACTCTGTTGTCCCTGCGACCCCCTCCTTCCTACTACTTTCCCATGTGATACTGAAAACACTATCTGGTTACACTGTGGGTGGGTGGGGGGAAGAGGCTAGGATGCCTCTGAACCCCGAGCAGAGGGAAGGGTTAAGGACCTCCTTTTTGCCCTCTCTGCTGGAAGTCTCCCACCCCATCCCCTTCTGTTTTGCACCTGGGTTCCCAGACCTGTGTCTATGTTTGAACATTTGGTTCTACCTGTCATAAGAACATAAGAGACGCCAATGTTGAATCAGGCCAAAGGCCCACCCAGTCCAACACTCTGTGTCACACAGTGGCCAGAGATACCAGGTGCCATCAGGAGGTCCACCAGTGGGGCCAGTGTCAAGATCATGCTGGTTGGTGAGAAGTGCTGTCAGCTCACAGCCAGCTTATGGTGACCCTGTAGAGGTTTCAAGACAAGAAACAAAGAGAGGTGGTGTTCTATTGTCTGCCTCTGCATAGCAACCTTGGAGTTCCTTAGTGGACTCCCATCCAAATGCTAACCATGGCTGATCCTGGCTTCCAAGACTGATGAAACTGGGCAAGCCTGGGCCATTCAGGTCAGGGCCAATATCATGCTAGGGGACCTGGAAACAAAAACAGATAAAGTTCTGGAACTTCTAGTCATAGAGTACAAGAGGGAATTTCTGCAGGTATTAGCTCTACACGACAAACTTCCTTGGCCAAAATCCCTCTGCAGCTACTAACAACACTAGAGTCTTCCCTTCTGGTCCTGCTTCGAACAAGACTACTCACTTCAAAAAGGATGTGGACAGAATGCAGCAGGTGCAGAGGAGAGCATTGAGGATGATTGGGGGCCTGGAGACCAAGCCCTATGAGGAAAGGCCGAGGGACTTGGGAATGTTCAGTCTGGAGGAGGCTGAGGGGGGACATGACGGCTCTCTTGAAGTATGTGAAGGGCGGTCACTTAGAGCAGGGCAGGAAGCTGTTCCTGTGGGCAGCACAGGGTAGGACTCGCAATAATGGGTATAAATTAAGGGTGGGAAGGTACCGGCTGGATATTAGGAAAAACTTTTTTACAGTAAGAGTTATTCAACAGTGGAATCAGCTGCCTAGGGAGGTGGTGAGCTCCTCCTCACTGTCAGTATTTAAGCAGGGGCTGGACAAACACTTGTCAGGGATGCTCTAGGCTGATCCTGCATTGGGCAGGGGGCTGGACTAGATGGCCTGTATGGCCCCTTCCCACTCTGTGACTCTATGATTCTATAGTGCATCCGTCCCTGGATGGCAGATGGCGAAGCCTACCTCATCTTCCTAACCTAATCTTTATCCTTTGTTTCCTGGCCTTATACAGCAGAGGATTCAAAGAATATAAGTGCAGCACCAAGCTCCAGAAGCCTCCTACCTGAAGAGGACAGAACAACAACAGGTATGTGACTAGGGGTGCCACGACCACTCAGTGGAGGTGGGAGTCCCCTGCTGTCAGGCCCCACCACCCCGCCAATCAGCAGTCCAGCAGGGGAGACTTACCCAGAAAAAGAGTCGGCCCCAGTTGATGTTGCAGCGATGTGTCTATATCACTTCCGACATGATCCAGAAGTGATGTCATCACATTGCCCCGATGTTGCTGTGTGATGACATCACTTCTGGGTCATGTTGGAAGTGACCTAGAAATGTTGCTGCAACGTCAGCTGGGCCTCCCTGCTCCTCCCAGTAAGTCCCCCCCCCAGTCCCATGTTGGTTGGCAGGAGGGGCCTGGCAGCCCTATTTATGACAGAGAGACACCTCCATGATACATTTATGGGCAAGATGAACCCAACATCCAGAACTTCTACCAGCAGAAGAGGGCAGTGGACATTTTGTCTGCTTTGTTGAAAGACAGTTAAGGATACCAAGGGCTAGGAAGCCGGGCCTAAATCTGACTAAGGGAAAGATTGATGGAACAAGTCAGCCCCAGAATCAGTGCCTAACAACGTGATGGGTCTGATCAAGTGAGCTTCAAGGATGGGCGTTTCTCAGTGTGCATTCTCATGCTGCAAAAGACTTTAAATGTCTTGCGAAAAAGCAAGCCAAGAGTTACAAGATCTGGGCAACCTTCCAAGTGGGATCTGTAATGTATTGAAACGTCTTACATGAATCGCCGCATTGACTCCCCATGTTAAGCTCGAGCCAGAGGAAGGCTCCTTCGAGCTAACGTGCTATTGGTCGTTCCTCAACAACGACCAATCAGAACTGCACCTAGTCCCTGCGAGGGAAGTACTCTCATTGGACTTTATCCACTCAACCTCATTGGTTGTTTATTGTACAGAGGCATGGGTACGTTAGCCCGGGAATGTTTAAAAGGTGCCTAGCTCCCAATGTTAAGTTGTTCTGGTTATGACTTTTTCAAGCGCTTGTTCGTACCTTCAATAAAGCTGTTCACTTTTGCTGAAATCACTCTCTGGATCTTTGTTAGCGGCAATCTAACAGGATCCCCCACTTCCTGGTGCTCCTTTCCGCCACTGGCCAGCAGGGGAAACCCCACCCCCGAACAGCCACATTGTGTGGGACATCCTCGACAAGATGACGTCACGTGGACGTGACAGTCATCATCACACCAGGGATGTCGCATAGCAATGCTCTGCCTTTGGGGCAAAACTCTATGGTTTGAGGGCAATTTTACCACAGAGTTTTGCCCTCAAACCAGAGCGTCACTGTGTGACATCCCTGATGTCCCTGCCCCTTCCAGGAATGGGAATGCCCCCCAAATACCCCCACCAGTGAGAAGGTAGGACCTGGCAACCACAA